TGTACTCATGTCTAGTCTAGTCCTTAGGGAGCTTTGTAGTGACCGCCAGAACCTTGATGTAAATTACTATCTCTATCGGAGATAATGGACATCGGAACCCCATGCAATCGCACTATTTCCCTTATGTAAGTTCTTGTAAGCCTTTCCATCTTGTCAGTCTCCTTGATTGGTAGAAAATGTGCGTATTTGGTTAATCTGTCGACGATGACCCATATGGTATCAAGTCCACCTCGTCTTGGGCAACTTGGTTATGAAATCCATAGTAATCCGTTCCCATTTCATTATGGTATTTCTAGTTGTTGTAGTAATCCTGAAGGTTTCTAGTACTCGAGCTTAACCTTAGCGCAAGTAAGACATTTACTTACGAAGGTAGCAATCTCTGCTTTCATGTTAGGCCACCAGTATAGTTTCTTAAGATTCAGATACATTTTATCTGAACCTGGGTGAACGGAATACCTCGTGTTGTGTGCTTCAGTCATGACCACATCTCTGAAACCACCATGTCTCGGTGTCCAGATACGGTCCATGAGATAATAGGCTCTGCCACCCTTGATTTCTAGATTCTTTTCCAATCCTCTCAGGGATTCACCCGTCACATGCTCGGGTTGTAAAGCTTCCAGTTGATGCTCCTTAATTTGTGTGGATAAGTGGGAATGGATGGTCATATTCAGAGATTTGACTTCCGACCAGTGTATTCTTTTCTACTAGGGCGTCAGCTACTACATTGGCCTTTCCAGGATGATAACAAATCTCGCATTCGTAATCATTGAGTAACTCGATCCATCGTCGTTGTCGCATGTTGAGCTCCTTCTGATCGAAAATGTGTTGAAGGCTCTTGTGGTCGGTGTAAATTGTACTATTCGTTCCGTACAGGTAGTGTCTCCAGATCTTTAAAGCAAATACCACTGCTCCTAACTCAAGATCGTGTGTTGTATAGTTTACTTCGTGTGTCTTAAGCTGACGGGAGGCATAAGAAATAACCTTCCCTCATTGCATAAAACACAACCAAGCCCTTGATTCGATGCATCACAATACACTTCAAAATCTTCTATCCCTTCTGGGAGGGATAGTATCGTGAGGTGCATAGTCTTGTTTCAGTGTTTGGAACGCCTTCTCTTGTTTTGCTTCCCAGTCAAAGACCACACCTTTCTGGGTTAATGTAGTAAGAGGTTTCACGATGCTAGAGAAGTTCTTTATGAATCTGCGATAGTAGCCAGCTAGACCTGAAATTGACGAATCTCTGTAGGTGTCTTTGGTGCCGACCAGTTGTTAATGGCCTTAATTTTGGAGGGGTCCACATGTATCCCTTTTTCGCTAACAACATGGCCCAAAAATTCGACTCCTCGAATCCAAAATTCACATTTAGAGAACTTCGCATAAAGCTTCTCCGATCATAGTGTTTCTAAGACTCTTCATAGGTGCTGACTATGTTCTTCTTTACTTCGGGAGTAGATAAGTATATCATCGATGAAGAAGATGACGAACTGATCCAAGTAAGGACGGAACACTCTATTCATTAAGTCCATGAATACTGCTGGTGCGTTGGTTAATCTGAACGGCATCACTACAAATTCGTAGTGTCCATAACGGGTTCGGAAGGCTGTCTTGGGAACATCTTCCTCTAGAACTCGTAATTGGTGATATACGGATCGTAGATCTATCTTCGAGAAGTAGCTCGCTCCTTGAAGTTGATCAAATAGGTCATCAATGCGGGGCAGAGGGTATCGATTTTTGACAGTGAGTTTGTTCAGCTCTTGGTAGTCGATGCACATCCAGAACTATCCGTCTTTCTTCATCACAAACAAGACCGGTGCTCCCCAAGGTGAGAAACTTGGTCTAATGAATCCTTTTTGGTGAAGTTCGTTAAGCTGACTGGAAGGTTCTTGCATCTCTGCTGGTGCCAGACGATAAGGAGATTTTGCTACAGGGGCAGCCCCTGGAATTAAATCAATTCTGAACTCGACATGGCGTTGTGGTGGTAATCCCAGTAGTTCTTCTGGGAAGATATCGGGGAAGTCACGTACCTTTGGAATGTTGTTTATATCCTTTACTTCCCGACTTGTATCGACGATGTGTGCAAGAAATGCCTGATAATCCTTCCGCAAACACTTTCGAGCTTGGATGCACGAAATGATGCGAAGGTTTGTACTTGATTTGTCGCCGTAAATCACTAATGTTTCATGGTTAGGGAGATTTAGACGAACGGATTTTTCAAAGCATATGATGTCGGCGCGAAGAGGACTTAACCAATCCATGCCAACTATGACGTCGAAACTTTTTATTTGGACTGGCATGAGGTTGATTGGGAATGAGTGGCCATCTAAAGTTAATGTACAACCCATGTATATGCAATTAGTGTTTTCCGTTTTTCCATTTTCCATTTCTACAGTGAATGATTCTTCTAATATGCTAGGTTTACGTTTAAGTAAGTGAATAAAGTTTTGGCTCACAAAGCTTCTCTCTGCTCCACTATCGAATAGGATGCATGCATATGAATTATCGAGAAGAAACGTACCAGCAACTACTGTAGGATCAGCTACAGCTTCCTCGTGACAAATAGCTAATACTTGTCCCACTCCGTCGGTATTCGGTGTCTTTGGGTAGTTTCTTTTGTAGTGGCCCACCTCGCCACAATCGTAGCATGCTTTGCCTACACCAGCATTGGGAACTTGAGTGATCGGCTTTATGGGGGCCTTGCAGAAACGGAAAATGTGTCCCTTTTTGTTGCAGTTGGAGCACTGCATTTCCCAACAAGGTCCATGGTGGTGGTAATTGCACTTGGTGCACTTTGGGAGGTTGCCCACATAAGGCTTTGTTGGGTAGAGATTTGTAACAGTTGTAGTTGGTACAGTCTCAACGTTTACTACAACCAGTGTTTCTTCGAGGATTCTTGGGAAGACCCACCCTCCCCCTTATTCCACCCTCTCTTGTTGTTGTTGTTATTATTGTTGTTTCCTTTTTGTGGTTCTGGTGCAGAAGCTGTTGAGCTTTGATGATTTCCGTGATCAATAAGAGATTGTGCCAGCTCCTTGGCACTTTCAAAAGTGTCAGGTTTTGAAGCTAACACGCTTGACTGAATTTGGGGCGACGGTCCCCAAATGTATCGCTCTATTTTCTTGCTCTTGGGAGCAGTCATATCTGGGAAAAGGATTGCCAGATCGCAGAATCTGTTGGTATAAGCTACTATGTCGGTACCAATCATTCCCAAAGTCCAGAGTTCGTGCTCGAGTTTTTGAATTTCTCCTCGTGGACAATACTCCCTCATCAGCATGATTTTCAAGCTCTCCCAGCTTATTTAGTTTGCCACTATTAGGGTAAGTAGCTTAACGTGGCCATTCCACCAAGTTAAAGCCCTATCAGTAAGTGTGTAAGTTGCAAACTTGACTTTGCTGTGCTCGAGGCAGGAGCAGATTTCAAAGACTGATTTCGTCCTTTCAATCCACTGCCTTAAAATCATCACACCACCCATTTCATTAAACATCTGGGGTTTAGCATTCGTAAAGTCTTTATAGGTGCACTCTCGGGGTTGCCCATGACTATCGCCATGGTTGGAAGGATGTATGCCAATCCCTGAACCAATAGTAACAGGGGTATTGATCTGTGACATGGCAACAGCTACAACTACGGTGACTGCTGCCTGGAACATGACAACATCAAATTGAGTAGGTTGAGGTGGTGGTGGTATCGGTGTTTCCCCACCGTTGTTTCGTCTCGTATTTCTACGCGG